CATTTTCAAGGCTTGCTTAAATCTAGATAGATTAGGTCCACTGCAATGTCCTTCTTTAAGAACTTGTTACAAGACATTAGAAATACTTCAATATGATCTTCCTTGATAAATCTATTTTACATTTTGTCCTGTTCTGTTTGCCTTCATGTCCTTAATTGTTCTTTCCTTCAATATATGCTCTAAAACCTTGAACATGCTGAAGTCAAACTAATGTCTGTAATTACCTAGCTCATTTTTCCCTGTTTTTAAAACTAGGCACTACATTTGCTGTTCTCCAGTTACAGGGCGAATCTACATGAGACATTTATTGCAGTTGCCTAATTAGCTCCGCAATAAAGTCTCTGTGACTACATGTGTGGCCCTATTAGGCCGCAGTAAACTCAAACACCCCCGTAGGTTAGTATTTGTAAATACAAGTACTATCCTGAGGCAGCATTATTTTGCATGCCACAGCACACATGTAGATGCTGATGGGGCTGGCTGGGGCATGAGGGTGCTTTCAGTGCAGGGGCTGCCCGCTGATTAGTCCCATACTGGAGCACCCTTGTGACCCAGCCAGCTCCTTTGCAGCATGTTGACCAGGTCAAAGTAGCCCCAGGCTGGCAGGGCTGACCCCCTGGGCCCTCCGCCAGCCAGGGCTGCTTTGACCCAGCTCAATGTGCTGCAATCTCAGCCACATGTGTAAATGTGGTGCCTAGGAGCAATAAACTCTGGTGCGAAGTATGCCAGAGTTTATTCATTTGTGTTAACTGCATGTGTAGAAGCACCCACAGGGAACTAGACGCAATCTGACATTACTTGAAGATCAGTTTTTAAAGAATTGCTACTTCATGTGCTAGTTATTTCACAATACAAAATATAACACAAAAAAAAAAATCGGGAGAAAAAGATTAAAAGATAGTGTTTTAAGGTATATGTTGGTCCAAGTTATTTACAAAAGTATATTCTAAGCATGGCAACTACTTTGGGCATTCTTGAGAGCAAAGGGAGCAAGATCTTAATAAAAAGGTTGAAAAAACAGAACTTAGTAAAGATAGTGAAATTCTCAAAGTCTTTGTTCTGACTCTGACAGTTCCTCTTCCACAGAGATTTTGCTTACAAGGCATCTCAATTCTGCTAAGAAAGTCATTGTTAGAGATTAATCCCCATAGTGACATCAGCAAGCATGGTCTATTAGAAATGTACAGGTACAACGTTCTGTGCAGTCCTACTCCAAACTAATTACATTCTTCTGACTTACCTAGATTGTTAATTTAAAGATTCACAAACCACTTTCCTCAGTAGACCTACCAACACACAGTCATTTAGGAACCTGGAAGGGTAGAGCTGAAGCATGGGATATAAAAAGTTCAGTAGAAAGACCTTTAATGCCTCCAAGAAAGTGTGTCAGAAAAGCACAGCTTTGCAATCCAACAGATCTTGAAACTGTCATCTTGAAATTGTTTCTGGGATCCTGTTTTTTTTCCCCATGAAAGACATTATGTAGGATTCTCCTCTTTCAGCTTAAACAGATTTTACCATCAACATATGATATCTTTGTATATGAAGACTGGCATAAGCCAAGGAGAAAAGGAAGGAAACAGGTCTTTGTTGGGCAAGCAAAGTGAGATACTACATTAAAATTCATGGCATTTCTCTGTTTAGATGTAATGTGGCAACTTTTAAACTCTGCTTCAGATCAATTCCAGGTAATATTCTGGGATCAGCAGG